TATATATATATATATATATATATATATATATGTATATATATATATTCTTTATCAAGGCTAATCGTACATTAGAAATCTGACATCACTTCATCCCCAGCTTTGTGTCTGTGATGCAAGAAGCTGATAACAGAGCTGTGTTTATACTGAAAGTCTCACCTGTTTTTTGTGCAGTTAAGAGAAAGAACTGATATCTTAATATTGCAGGAATATTAAGTTTGACGTAAGACATGTTTGCTTCCTTCTGCTTTCTTCTCAACATTCTTTTCTTTTTTTCTGATCATATCATATCTCAAAACAGCTTCAAACAAACAAACAAAAAAATGTTTTAGAGTTGATGTTATATATCAGTAATTACTCAGGCCAGTTTGTTTACAAAGTATTTTGGGATAAGAACAGAAACTTAGGACCCTCTGAGGCCCCCAGCCATGCCTTGAGAGAGCACACGTCCACATAGTGAATGGATCTGGGTTTAAATGGAGGAGGGGATGGATGGCCCATGCCCTGCAAAGCAGCACAAAAATCTTAACAAAGTGGGTGGGAATTTTTTGGAGGTGATGGGGGGTGGAGGGGGTTTGCTCTCCTTCCAGGAGATAGATAGATGTGGCATCCAATAGGCGCTCAGAAATGCTCAGCAGCGGCCAACCAGATCAGCCAGTCTTACAAATATAAAGCCAAACCAGTAAGTTACACAGGTGGAGCTGTTGTCATTCTGCTGGGAAGGGAAGCAAACTACAGAATGTGAGGCGATCTGAGATATTACACACGGATTTAAACTGAAAACTTCAGACGGTTTGTTGTGACTTTCTTCCGCTTAATCAAACAGCAAGGCGAGAGAAAAAATGAGTTTGATCATAACTATAGAAAGGTGCTGCAGTTTCTGCATTCAGCGCCTCGGAGGAACTGATTCCAGTTAGAAAAAGAAGTTGCAGCGAACGACGGGAAGCCAACTTTAAGCTGACTGTGTGTTTGGATCAGCGCCACTCGGCTGGGAGGGCAGCGTGGGTGCGTGGAGGGGAGGGGAGGGGAGGAGGGATGTCGGGCAGGAGTGGAGGAGCGCCCCGGGGATGCAGCAACCCCAGCCTGCAGCCCCTCCGGGCCACCGTCCCTTTCCACATTCAGAGAGGCTCCGCTCTGCTGCACAGAGAGCTCGCCAAAGCGGGTAAATACACACCATCCACTTTGTTCTTTACAAGTGTTATTTACTTTAGAAATGTCACCCTTAACTTCACATTTAGTGCTCAACAAAACATTCATCATCTGAAGATAAACCGCTACAACTGACAGGAAAGTCATATTTAACTTGGATAAAAAGTTTGTAAATCTACTTTCGGCCTTTATAAGATATCTCCTCTTTTTATAAAAACAAAACAAAAAAACAGAATAAGTAAAAAAAAAAAATGAAGCATACAGATTCAGCACAACTGCAGTTTTAAAGAAGGGATTAAAAGTTACATCTAAAGATAAAAGGTTCAATCTGACAAGTAAAGGTTCCCTCAGGAATAAATGTTATACCTAAACGGTAAAAGTTCTATCTCAGGATTAAAGGTTCTATTTGAAAAGTAAAAGTTCTACCTCAATATTAAATGTTCTATCTGAAGAGTAAAAGTTGTATCTCAGGATTAAAGATTATCTGAAGAGTAAAAGTTCCATCTCAGCATTAAAGGTTCCATCTCAGGATCAAAGGTTCTACCTCAGGATTAAATGTTCTATCTGAAGAGTAAAGGTTCCATCTCAGGATTAAAAGTTCTATTTGAAAAGTAAAAGTTCTACCTCAATATTAAATGTTCTATCTGAAGAGTAAAAGTTCTATCTCAGGATTAAAGATTATCTGAAGAGTAAAAGTTCCATCTCAGGATTAAAGGTTCCATCTCAGAATTAAATGTTCCATCTCAGGGTTAAAGGTTCCATCTCAGGATTAAAGTTTCTTTCTGAAGAGTAAAGGTTCTATCTCAGGATTAAACATTCTATCTGAAGATTAAGGTTCAATCTGTTCATATAGAACCTTGTTTTTGGGAAGGCAGGTTTATCTTTATTGAAATTGAAACTAATTGAAAATCTTACTTTGAAATATTCAGAAAATAACAAGCTGTATCTAAACTGAGTTTGACTGACAGAATAGTCTGGCTAGTATCTTTAATAGAAAAGCAAGAAGGCCCATCCCTGACACAAGCCTAAAAGGGGGAGCTCAAGTTTGGCGAACTCTAGTATCACTTCCACTTGGCTTGCAGTCTTAAAAATAAAAGAGAGCAGTCACTGAGAAAGCTATGTCAACAAAAGGAGGTTGCTAACCCTGAAGCATAACTTTCCTCCTATAATGTTATTTGGACACTCAGCTGCCCTTTCACACTGTGACCTGCTGGATTTCTGCCGCATGCTTGGCGCTAACGCAGCAGCAGCACTTTTAAAGGCCTCTTTGTTTCTCTCAGACTGCTTGTTACTTTAACCAGCTCCATGAATCTCACATCTGCATGTTATTAATACTTTTTGTCTGCTCTGCAACCCTGGCCAAAGACAGTCCACTGCTTATAGGTTGGTAGTAAATAAACTAGCAGCGTGCGGTTAGAGCTCCTAGCCCTGTGAAGCTTTGCTCCAGGTCAAAGCTGTGATCCACACCTGCCAGGGGGCACAAAACCTGCCAAAATGCATTCGCTTACACAGTATTCTATAAACACTAACACTGATGTTCAGGACACAGTACAGTAGATATACATCAGGAGTCTTCTACTTCAGAAATGAAGACTTGCTGATAAACTTATTTAGTGGTGTTGATGGATAGGATTTAAATTTTCCATTTAGAAACCTGTTTAAAAAGGATTGAAGTTGGTAAATCAATATATAGTAAGCTGCCTAAAATAGTTTTTAGAATACAAACAAGAAGTAATCTTAAAAACCTAGAAATAAAAGCATAGTAAATGCCTTAAAAAATGGATTTGTGATTTTTCTTCCCCCTAAATGATGATGATGATGTCAGAGTTAGGCGCATAAAGCTGAGATCTGTATGTGTTCAGATACTGTACTAATTGAGTAAAAGTTCAGCCATAGTTTAAAGACCTTTATAAACCCGTAAAACATTAATGACTTTCTAAAAAGTCTGTAAAATAAAGTGAGGTATTACTACTGTGTGTTACTGTGTCCCATTTTTAACATTTGTTGGTGTTTCATTAACAAACCTTATATTATAGTGACACATGGTTTGATTAAAAACAACAAATATAAAGTACATATTTTTACAGCCCCTTTGATAATTTTTTTTCTAGATGCATGTTTTTCTGTAACTACAACAGTGTTTCTTTCTCCACTAGCTTTAATTTAGGAACTACATTTTTATCTCATTCCTTATGAAGGAGCTCAAGGTCAGTAGGATTGGATGGAGAGCTTCTGTGAACAGCTTTTTTTAGGTCCTTTTTTTTTTTTTTAGGCCACAGATTCTTAATTAAATGTAGTTCCAGATTTTAACTTGGCCGTTTAAACAAGCAGATTTGCTATGATCTGAAACGCACGCCTTCAAATATGGTCCTCAGGACACACTGTTCTGCAGGATATATTTGTTTATGCTTCAGCAACCTAGAATCAAATGGTTGCAATATCTCCTTAGCAGGCATTGAGGTCTGCAGAGGCACTTTATCTTTTTGAATTGGTATTGAGCAATAAATGCATTGCACAGGCCAGATATAGCTAGAAGATAATTTTCATCTGCAGACCCTGCAGAGGCAGAATGGTGTCTTTAAAGGTTAATAATCAATTGGTATGTCAGCAGCTTTTCTATGAGGTTTGCTGTTTTAAACTCTTATCAACTTTCCATTAAATATGAGAAGGTTTCCTTTCCTCTCTGCAAAATCCCACAGCATGACGCTTCCACCACCATGTATCTTTGTTTCTCTGCATTCTGTCAAATGGTATTAAGCCCCCCCCAAAATGGGATTTTCTACACATTTCTTTCTATTTTGTTCCTTGGTCTTTATGAGGCCGTATATCGCCTAATGTTCTTTAACAAACTGCTGAGGCCTTCACAGAGCCTCTGGATTTATACTCAGCTTACATATGTATATTTGGTAAGTGATAAGGATTATTGTGCTGGATTAAATATGTCAGTGCCAAAGTAAAATAGAGTATTTTTTTGTGTGTGTTTGTTATTTAAATCTACAAGCTGCACTATTCCCCAAGCTAAGACTGAATTAGTTATTTCTGTTTCTGTCTGTTTCGAAAAGTTGACAAAACCACAGCTCGCCCACCGAGACCAACGATTCGTCGAACTCTTTCTTTGGATACCATTGTCGGACCCTATCTGCAGGGACAGTGGCCCAAAGAGGCAGAGGGCACCGCAGCTGCCTGTGTCAATGACAAAGCCACTCAGGTAAATACAAATATAATTTTAAACCAATAATTCATGATGCTCCAATACAAGTATTGTAAAAGAAAAAGTATTGAAACGGAAAATAATTTTCTTTATAACTTTTTACATGTTGCTGAGGAAAACACAGGCAGGTTTAACTCCCAGTGGTTTTTATATATCCATCCTCTGTATGTATAGACAAGATATCAGATGTAGGCTCTGCAGGTGTCTGTTTGGGTTGTTCCAGTTTGATGCAGCGGGTCGAAAGCAGCCAACTGGAAATAGTTGTTTTTGTTCTTCTTCAAACTGCTGCTCCTCACTTGCTTCCCCTCCACCGCCCTTCCACTGTATCTGCTTCAAACTAGTGCACAGAGCCCAGACAACATTGCACAGCTCCTCCGCTCATCTTCATCTTCACTCCTGACACAGTTTAGAGCGTGCATGAACCCCCTATGCTTCCATTGTGAGGAAAAGACCCTTCCTGACCTCATTATACAGACACCCCATCCCCCAAGTGCTCCACTCAAGAACGCCAATGACCCACCTCTTTTTGCTGAAGTTTCTCTGCATTATGTCAAACGGTATTAACCCCCCATGGGATGTTGTTCTTGTTCTTGTTTATGGACCAAGTAGAAAAATATAGTTTGACTGGCTTTTTTCTCTTTATGATTTTCTTTTTTTAAAGATAGTTAATTTTACATTTAATCACTGGTTAAAATCTGTGTTATTCAACCAAACTGAAAACTTTGAGGTGACATGAATTAATGACAGAAAGCACATCTTTAAGCCAAACTCTGACTCATGGCTTTTAACAGGCTGTCAAAATTCACAGTGCAGCTGCAGCTACAAGTGATCCTGTACAATGCTGCTCTTTATTATCTTCTAAACAAGTTTTTTTCTTAAGATGACTGTTTGGAGACAGTTTACCAAGGCATGATAAAGCTCTTTTTTCCATTTAGAGCAGTGTCACCTTTGGTGGACTCTGCAAAACTCTACACGTGTTTCCACTTTGTTCATTCACACACACACAGACTCAGTTGTCACGCAATCCTTTAGGGGACTTTGTATTAACTTCCATTTGTTTCTGTGTCGTAACTCAGACCCTTATCCTATTTCTACCCATTAGCAACACATTCCTAACCCTAAACCTAACCTTAATCCACAGCTTAGTCCTAAACCTAACCCCCAACCCAAGAAAAGAACATTTCTTCATGTGGACCAGTCAAAAGGTTCCCTAAGTAACTGTAAGTCTACATAAAGTAATATATTCCTGGGAAATGTCCCCACAAGGTACCACAACCACTTTCCACAAACAAACACTCCCTAACTGGCTGGGTACGTGCTGTACAAGGACGCCAGCCTGCCATTAAGAGCAACTTGGACTTCA